TCTGGTGAAAATTTCATGTCATTAGCACCTCTAGTAATATATTTACTGAGAAAAATGGTGACGTGTTCAATACTTATTTTACCCGCTGTACATACCAGACCTTCTGAAGCCTCTCTCACTAAGATGTGTTCAATACTTATTTTACCCACTGTATTTGGGGGCCTGACCATGAAGTGCTCTAAATGTTAAAAAACAAAAGCAGCTTTTCATTCATTGAATTAATCAATGTATCATTTTTCTGTCCATAAGTCTTTAGAGTGAGACTGCAACACTTCGTAATGAAACCTGTTCTTGTAAAATCAGTTGGACAGTGGYGTGAGCACTCGTGCAGATACAGAGTTAATATCATTAGCAGGTGCATTTTTCTTGACTTTTTTTATTTAATTATGCGTTTTGAGATAATACATTCTTTTATTCATTCATCTTTAACTCTCTTTCTCTCTCTCCCTCTGCTGTACAATATCTTGTAGTGTCTGTAGAAAGGAGAGAAAGATAAAAAGATGCTTCTGGGCTCTGCAGGAAGAAGTGTATCCGTAATTATCAGTATTGGACCTTGATACAAGAGCAGCTAAATTAGAGCATTATGATTATTTTTTCAGCACAGTGTTCCATATGTTTGTGCAGCAACATTGTAAATACAACTTGCTCCCTTCTCTCTCACCGTGACTTGCCTTCCTTCCGTAGTTTCTCTCTCGTTTTGTCCCCCACCACCACAATCCCCATCCCCCTTTCTGCTGTATGAGTGTGTTTTGTTAGGGAGGGCTGATTCTTCATACTTGGCTGAGGCTTTATGGACAGTAAAGATCTGATTTCAAAGTCCGGCAGGGTGTTAGGCCTGGGGTCTTGGCTCAGCTTGAGTTGCCTGCTGGGCGGAGACACTGCGCAGCCCCTGACCAGATGGCCATCGGCCCACATACAGTAGATTCACATTGTGGGTGATGTGAACTGCTGACATTCCTGTCTGTGAGCAGCTCCGTTCTTCAGCGTCATGGTCACCGAKTTGCCCTGATCTGCTGAAAATGACTCAGCGTTAGAGCTTGAATGCTTTGACACTGTGCAAAGCAAACAGTTTTGCAAATAAGACAACGCACATAATAAACCACATTTTCATTTCATTAGAAAACTAAAAGCACTCGGAGAGTGCAAACCTCCGACAAGGTCAATTTCCCCCATCCTGTAATAGAGTAAATGCACAAAAGCAGAGATGGAAACACATTTGCTGAATAAGTTCTGACGTAGCGAACATTTAAGCAAGCAGTATGCAAGGGATTTCTTCCCAGGGGAGACCAGTGTGAAAAAAAAAGTCAGACTCATCACCCGACGTCCACTAGCTTGTTTTCTTGTAGCATGGTTGAGGTCAGGACTCTGTGCAGGCCAGTCAAGTTCATCTACACCAGACTCTGCCATCCATGTCTTTATGGAACTTGCTTTGTGCRCTGGTGCACAGTCATTTGAATGCGTGAGCAAATAGTCTGAAGTCCACAGCACCAGAGCGTGTCACTTATGTGGTGCAGTTTGTCTCTGTTACGATTATAATCTTTTACATATTCCATGCCAAACAAGCAAACAAACAAACAAACTCCGAGGTAACAACACTACTCCCATCTCCAAAGGCCAGAAGCGATCTGTTTACAAGCCTACTGACAATGTGGTGTGTTTGAGGAAATGGGGAAAATAGGTTTTTTGGTGCAGTCAYGCACTTTCTGGTCACAAAACGTTCTCTAAATGYGCACCAAATGTGTAAAAATGTGCATATTATGGCAAAAATTGTTCATCATTAAATCTGGTTTTAACATTACTTTTATAAAGTTTGATGTCCGTGCTGTCCAATCCAAGTCACTGTTTTTTTTTACAATAGCCCTGTGAAAGCATCACAGCTTTGCCGATCTCAGGGTGTTAAAAGAAAAAAAATTCCTGTATCCGCATCGTGATCCGGAACATCACCAAAATTTAAAGGTGTGTTCCTTGGCCCGGTATCCACATATGATGTAAATGTCATGACAATCCGTCCACAGGTTTTTGAGTAATGTTGTCCACAGACAGAACGACAGACAGACAGACAGACAGACATGACTGAAAACATTACCTCGCCCTTGGCGGCGGTAATGACAGTTGTCTGTGTTAG